TTGGCATTCCACTGAGTTAAAGAGCTAGTCTTAGCATTTAGCAGGGAGTGACTGATTAGCCAAAAAAACAAAGATTTTTGGAAGTTATGAATTTATTTAAAATCTCAGAAGATAAGAATCTTAATTTTTTCCCCACCTGTAGTACTGATGTCTGTTCCAGAGTATTTTCTTATTTGAGGTGTTAACAGATCCTCTCTCAAGAACAACTTGAAGACTCTTTGGAACCCCAAATAATCTCAAGCATGTTTTACAGTTAGGATTTAAGGATTTCAGGGTGCGGTCACACTGGCCATCCGTACCGTGCCCAAGCACGCTTCAACCCTAAAGTCTAGTTCGTTTGACAAGTGTGACCGCTCCGTATCGTGCTCAGGCACGGTACACTTCCTTGTCTTTGGCACACTTCACGCACGAGCACAAGCACGCGGGTACACAACGCTGACAGCCTTCATTATGGAGAAATCCAGAGTTTCATGTCTGTATCTGACTAAAATGAATCAATATAAGACACAAAGTAGCTGTCAGGTTCTCTGTGTTGTTCTCCGATTTGCGGCCGCGGACTCGGCCGTGCGTCTATTTTATTTATTAATTAATTAATTAATTAATTTATGACTGTGTCTGATTAAAATGGCTTAAATTAAGCCTCAAAGTCAGTAAAGTAGCTGTCATGTTATCTGTGTTGTTCTCTGATGTGCGGGTGCGCGTCTATTTTATTTATTTATTTATTTATTTATTTATTTATTTATTTATTTATTTATGGCTGTGTCTGATTAAAATGGCTTAAATTAAGCCTCAAAGTCAGTAAAGTAGCTGTCATGCTCTCGGTATTGTTCTCTGATGTGCAGACGCGGGGGACCCCCCCCCCCTCTCTCTCTCTCTCTCTCTCTCTCTCTCTCTCTCTCTCTCTCTCTCTCTCTCTCTCTCTCTCTCTCTCTCTGTGTGACCGCGGGCCGTGCCGGCCAGCGTGGGAATGGCGCAGCGGGGGGCCAATCGTGCTTGAGTACGGCACAGTACAGATGACCAGTGTGACCGCGCCCTCGGAAGGTGCCCGGATTAGTTTTTCAACAGGTGTTTCTGGTCCAGTATTGATTAACTTATTTTTCTTTCTTTTACCTTTGATCTCAATACATGCCACAAGGTTTAGTAGAGACATAGAGTGATGATGAATCAAACTGTATTAGTTGTTTGTTTTGCTTTGGTGAACTTTGTGTGGGAGTAAAGAGAAAATGAACAACATAAAAAAGATAGAAAGGAATCCTTCAAGGCTTTTATTTTGACACACTTGTGAAGTTTTTAAATGTTATTGAAGATTTCTTATCAGCAGTTAAAATAAATTAACAAAAAGAAGCAACTCTAAATATTTCATGTATGCAATTTAAATCTGATTTGTAATTCTATAACAAACACACTAGCTCAGATTTACTCAAAGACTTTGACAAAAGTTAATTAAAAAAATCCCTTTTTCATATTTCAAGGTCACAAAAGTGCTTACAGCATCCACTTGCAGTTTCCTGAATATAATATGTCTTGGGGCAGCTGTGGCACAGTGGTAAAGTTGGTCGACTCTCAACTGGAAGGTTGGGAGTTCAATCCCCAATTCCTGCATCCACATGTCCGATGAGTCTTTGGGCAAGACACTTAACCCCAAGTTGCTCCCAATGCTTCTTCGGTTTATGAATGTGTATGAACGGGATTGGCTAATACTAATGTCCACTTTACATAGCAGCCTCTGCCATCAGTATTTGCTTTATAGTCAAAAGAGTAAAGTGCTTTACAAGCTCAAGTCCATTTACCATTTACCTGTCAAAAGGACTACACTAGGGGAAAAGTTTAAATACATTGAGTTGAGGAAACAAAAGTTATATCCGGTGAAATAACCAAAACGAGTTCATGCAACCAGTTTTACAAAGCGTAATGATGTGTCTGTTTTTCATTCTTTTGATAATACGTTTTTTCTTGTTCCATACCCATCAATAAAACATTTTCAAAAGAGTCACATCCCTGTCAAGGCAGAGGGAGTCCTGTGATAATGCTAATTTTCTATCTCAGAATAGTTTCCATGCTTTTCACTCTTACCATCACATTTAGATTGGGTGGTTAATTTGATCAACTCCACAGTATCTCTGTAGTCTGGCAGAATGTCTTGTGGTTTATTTTGGTCCGTTTGAGGTATTGAGAAGTTGAGGCAGAAATGTTGCTTCTCCTTTGATTCAAAGCCATTGGACAAGAGGCAGGCTGTTTGATAAAGGCATGTTACTTATATAACAGAAGGGCCTTGGCGAGTGTGATTATGATTCAGACTGGTCTAACCGGGTGCTTTTCTGTTGCATAACTAGTTGACACCTCTGTGTCCCTTCCATCCACACAAACACTTAATCTAATGAACTGAAGGAGCTCAAACAATGCAGTGTCCTCCATCTCTGACTGTAAAATTTCTCAAGGAGCTTTTCCACTCTGCACATCCACACGGGTACAGACACGAGTTTCACGCTGACTTCACTCTTGTAAAATCCCTCAGATTGCCGAAGTATGATCAAAACTTCGCAGCAGGTGGCAGAGAAAACAAGTTTCTAGGAGTAAAAACAAAAGTAGCTGCACCTCAAGCTGAGCGTTCTGTGTTGTTGGGTTTGTTTATGTGTAAAATATCTACTTCTAGTGTTTCTCTGTGAGCCTGCACTCAAAAAACACTGCTGTGGCTGATTTGTTCAACAACACTGAACACGCTGTTGACAGTAGGAAGGGTATAAAATATGTCACTTAACAGTTCTGCAAACCCCAAACAACCTTTATTTGCTTTTTTTTACCCCAAAATAACACTCTAGGTACTGCTGTAACATTTACCATCTCTGAATCAAGACCACATCCTTTGACATATCTGTCATTGTGGTTTGACATGTAGAGTTTTTTATCCACTGTTTTTGTGAGTGTAAAATGGCTTTTGGAAGAGTTAGCTTAACATCTTTGAAAGAACAATATCTTTCTTTGAGTCAGTCTAATATTGGAATCTTTGCAAACAAAATGTCTCTTATGTGATCTGCCAGCCCCTTAGTCATTTCTTTCCTGATTCAGACTCTTAATGTTGGGATGCCAAAACCAGAATTTTCAAAAGATATCTCCCCCTGTATGGCATTTCTCACATTACAAAAGAAACCTTTTCTCATAAATTAGATTTTTTTTTTAAGTTAGGGCTTGGCTTTGTTTCCCTTACATTAAATATCAGATTTTACTCCACAACAGGTTTATTTTTTATTTTAATAGACCTGATATCCTGTTTTCCCAATGCTTTGTGGATTTCCAAAGAAGGTTGGCTGCCTCTATACTGTCCAACTGATAGTGCCACACTCTTCATCTGCTGGAATAACTTCCAGTTGTTGTGCTTCTCCTGGATTGTGTTGGTGAATTGGTTTTCTGGATTTAGTTGCCCTGAACTTTATACAAAATGTACCGGTATGCCCTACAGTGGTTTGCTCAAGGACACGCATACAACACAAAACCACTTTGTGACAACTGCCGAGCCTTTAGGAAACAAGCTCCCCTCCTCTATAGATCAATTTGGAGTGTGGACGTCACGATTACGTCAGAACGTCAGAACGAGTCCAGAAACCTCTCCATCGGAAAGATTAAGACAACTTGCTTTCTGCTGCTAAACAATGAAATGATTGGAGAATCCAAATAGTCCGTAACTTTCTGTTGTGAATTGACCGCAAAGCTACTGCACGCTAAATATCTGCAACCATTTGGACTCACAAAGCGCATCATCACTGTGCGTAGACCAAAATGGTCTTAAGAGCTAGTGCTTGCAGCCATGTTGACACTCTGAATGAAATGTGTACATTTGAAAGAAATATTAAAGCTCAATGTTCAAGTGTTCTGTACCTTCATAAAGCGTGTAAAAGTAAAAACCTATGTTAATTTTAAAATATCGTCCCTTGTCATGTTGCCCAACTCCATTTGGAGCAATGTCTAGTAGAACCGTTTTTTAATGAATCACACATTTTACCCTGTAGTAAAAGTTCTGACATAAAATACCAAATATTAATGTAATAATACAGTGAAATAATAGTTGTGATTGGTTACAATTTTGTAACCACAAAAAGTGGTCCAAAGTGTATGGCTATTTAATTCAAAATATTTAACCTCATATGGTGTTTTTTTTCTACAAAGTAACTGTACGTTGAACGGTCGATTGTATTTCTTCAGGAGTAAATCTGCCACATGTAGTTACCTCTTCGGTCAGTACCGTTTTTGTTTCTCTCCTAGTTTAGTTTTTTTCCTTGAACTTCTTGTTTTTGAACATTGTTATTTTGCCTCTCAGCTGAATGCAAGTCAGACTGACATGTCAAGGTGTTTCCATCACTTTATGGACAATTGATGTCAAGCTGCACCTTTCAACTTGAAAATATATTTAAAAAAATGTGTTCAACATAAAAACCCTATTTATCTTCGGTCTATTTTAGACTTCTACTTAAAGTATGAGCCATGGCCATAACATGCCAAGCATCCGAGTAATTCATTGTCCTCAGAGAAAATGTGATTTTCTGCCTGTTTTGTTGTTGTCAGCCTTAGAAGTTTCAATAAACGAAAGGAAAAAAAAAAAACAGTCTTATTTACCGTAAGTCACTGTTGGGTCACCCTGACCCTGTACCCTCAGTTATTCTGCCATGTATGGCCTTGTGACGCACACAACATCAAGCAAAGCAAGATGATCCCGCTTATGGCCATCCCACCTACTGTCTCTTAGATGTGCGTGTTAGTGTGTTCTTATATGCGTCTCTTGTTCCCCTGGTGTATATCATCTTCAGGCAGGATGAGTGGTGATTATGTTAATGTGTTGTGTCATTTCTTTTTCATTAAACTTCATCATTTGTTATTATGATGTCTATGTTAATTGGCATGTGTTGCATAGTTTACACTTCTTTCTTGGTTTCTAGGAAATTACAAAAAGCTGATATTCAGATGCAAATCAATCACACCTTTCTTCTCTCCTTGTTCCTGTTTTTCAGGCGCGTTACAAACAGAGTCTGGACCCCACAGTAGACGAGGTGAAGAAGCTGTGCACGTCACTGAGACGGAACGCCAAAGAGGAGCGCGTCCTCTTCCACTACAACGGCCACGGGGTACCACGGCCCACTGTCAATGGAGAGATCTGGGTCTTTAATAAGGTATTACTCTTAAAAATAAGGGATAACCTCTCAAATGTACGTGCTGTAACATTGGATTCTCTTGGTTATGTTTTGCAAGGTGTCCAAAGTTGTGTTTATGCATCAAAACACAAATATATAATCTGATGAAGGGAATTAACTAAAGCAAATAAAGCTAAGTTAAACATCATACTTGTATAAGATCAATTCAATAAAACCTTTATGAGCATTATCATTGCAGTAGTCCAGTTCCAGTCCTTTCACATAATAAAAAAACCTGTTGTGATCTGTTGGTTGCATTACTTAAACTTAGGATGTCATATGGACTCTAGAGTTTTGCATCATGACCTAACTATTTAAGTATTTTGGAGCAAGACCTGACCATATTTTTTACTCCAGAGGAAAGATTTTTATCCATGACGGTTCCCACAAAATATGATTTTTCCAGAGTTAACCTGAGTTGTTCTTAAACACTGAGCGATATATATATATATATATATATATATATATATATATATATTTTACTTTTATTTTACCAGGTAGTCTCATTGAGATTTTGTAATCTCTTTTTCAAGCGAGACCTGGGTACATCAGTGGCAAATAAAATAATAAAAAAACATTGAAGTAACAGACATCAAAAACACAAAGTAGATGCATGGCCAATACACACAAAAACATCATACAAACACATTAAAAGTCAAGGCAGGTGTCCAATGCAGGACTATTAACATAGACAACTCCCAATTGATTTTAATTTGTTCTCTTTCAGCATTCCTTTAAATTCCACTAGAGTGACCAGATCACTCGGACGCAAGTCAGCCTGTAGTGTGTTCCAAAAAGAGGGGGCGGAGTACCTAAAGGCCATCTTACCTAATTCTGTGCGGACCTTAGGTACAGATAGCAATAACAGGTCAGACGAGCGTAGGCTATAGCTACCGATGTTGTGTGAAATTAGAGTGCATAGATAAGAGGGGAGTAGACCAAGAATGGACTTATAAATAAATGTGAGCCGATGAGAGGGCCAACCAGCCTTGGTGTACAAGGTACAGTGATGTGTCAGAACTTTTCAGCCAGTCATGAACCTCAATGCGCAATGATACAAAGCATCAAGGGTTTTCAAGGTTGTGGGAGAGGCATGCATGTATACAATGTCACTGTAATCATAAACAGGCATAATTGTAGATTGCACAATGGTTTTCCTACGGGCAGTGGAGAAGCAGGATTTGTTTCTGTATAAGAATCCTATTTTTATTCTAATATTTTTAGACAGTTGTTCCACATGGGTGCGGAAAGAGAGCCTATTGTCCAGCCAAATCCCTAGGTATTTATAGGATTCTACCGTCTCAATTTGGGAACCCTGAAGTGTGTGAATACCAATAGGAACATTGTTCACATAGGACCTTTTAAAACACATTTTGTTTTATCAGAATTTAAGACAAGCGTGTGATTAATGGGAGCTATCTGAAAGGCATCAAAAGCTGATTGCAAAGTTTTAATAGCTAATTCACTAGAGGCGCTGTTGGCGTACAGGATTGTGTCGTCTGCATAAAAATGTACATCACAATGTGGGGAACAGAGCACCATGTTATTTATATACAAAGAAAATAAAAGTGGACCTAAAATAGACCCAACAGCTTGAGTTCTCCCTGAGAGATTATCATAAAACCAGTTAACAGAGAGCTCATCAACTCCTATTGAGGATAGCTTTTTTATTAAAATGCTGTGGTCGACAGTATCAAAGGCTTTGGATAAATCAATAAAGAAAGCAGCACAATGTTGATGGTTATGAAGATGATTAACAATATTGTTTATTACAAGTGTTGCTGCTGTGATTGTGCTATGCCCTGTTCTGAAACCTGACTGCTCAGTTTATTTCCGATGTAAAGTTGGGTACTTTTATACGGATCACTATGGGGATTAACTCTCCTTTCACGCCCAGCCTCAAGTGGACACTTGAGGAACTGCAGTTTCTGAATCTTACTTGTTGCCTTCAGTTTGAACTCTCTGAGCATGTTGCTTGCTTAACAACCAAAACATGCAAATGAACTTACCTGCATTCATCAAGACTTAGCGACGTACCAATTGTACTTTAAATCTTCAGTTTTTCCCCTTATTCCATAAGTAAGCACCCACTCACAATGATGCACCACTCCTGTCTGGGCTTAGCTGTTTCTTCCACATCCCAACTGTACCCTCGGGCCTTATGTCCTTCTCCCCTACTCAACTCTCCTTCCTCTTCCTGCACATTTAACTCCTCGTACTTTCTGTAACATTAAACTGCTATGTCACTGGCAGCTGAAACAGGAGATGAGTGTGCATGTGCAAACAATCCTGGGTAAAGGGTGTGGAGCAACATTTTCCTAAAAGTACAGGATATAATACCTTTCATCATACTGAAGTTATTACATTTGTTAATCATCGTCTCTTTCTGTGTTCCCATCAACCTAATTTTTCTATCTCACAGTCTTAATTTCCTCTTTTTAACTCTTTCTATCTCCCTCTGCTGTGCTGTATCATAAGTCTCAGAAAACAGTTACACACTAACTTTAAAAGTGAGTTATCAGTATTAACATGGTGTTTCTCTCTCTCGCAGAACTACACCCAGTACATCCCGCTGTCCATCTATGACCTGCAGACGTGGATGGGTAGCCCGTCCATCTTTGTCTATGACTGCTCCAACGCGGGAATCATCGTCAAGTCTTTTAAACAGTTTGCCCTGCAGAGAGAGCAGGAGCTGGAGGTGAGGCTGCTGAACAGACAACACACACTCTTGTTGTTTGTGGCATGTCACAACACTGCAGTCTGGAATTAGTAGAGGGACAAATTGGAGGAGATTTACACAGGATCCAGGATATGCAAATTGGACAGGAGTGGTACCTGCTGATGCATTGAGGACTGTAGCCTCTATAATGAGGGTGCATACTCTACCAACTGAGCCAAACTGGTGCTCCCAGTTTTCATTTTTGAAAGATTCAACATTGGGGGTTAGGTTTACAGCAAAACGCTTGTATTCAGCCAGCAGTTGGAGGGAAATAATTTGAATAACTCAATAGTGGTTAAGGTATTACCTCTTTTAAGATTTGAGATAGTTGACATCATCAAAATTTCTACTTCCAAGTATGGACTGAATGCCCAAAAAGCCAGTGTTAGATGGTGACCTCACCAGACTATTCTTCTTATTAAAACCTGATTTGTTTAGGATTAAAAAGGTAAAACATGCATATTTGACAATTAAATATAAAGGTATTTGTATTCGGAAGTCAAATGTAGTCCTAGGGCGCGGTCACACTGGTCATCTGTACCGTGCCGTAGTCAAGCACGATTGGCCCCACCCCTGCGCCATTTCCACGCTGGCCGGCACGGCCCGTGGTCACACTACACAGGACTATCGGTGCTTAAGCATGATTACCTCTTGTACATAACGTCATAATACAACACATGCACGCTTTATGTTATTATGAAGCGTGCTCAGTTTACAAACAGGCGGACGAGAGAGAGGGAGAGAGAGAGAAAAAAAAAGGGACACGCAGTCGAGTCCGCGTCTGCACATCAGAGAACAACACCGAGAGCATGACAGCTACTTTACTGACTATGAGGCTTAATTTAAGCCATTTTTATCAGACACAGTCATTCATAAATAAATAAATAAATAAATAAATAAATAAATAAATAAATAAATAAATAAATAAAATAGACGCGCGCCCGCACATCGGAGAACAACACAGATAACATGACAGCTACTTTGTGTCTTATATTGACTCATTTTAGTCAGATACACACATGAAACTCTGGATGAAGGCTGTCAGCATTTGTGTGCTTGTGCTCGTGCATGAAGTGTACTGTGCCGATGCACACCTCTCCAAAGTGTGCCAAAGCCAAGGAAGTGAACCGTGCCTGAGCACGATACGGAGTGGTCACACTGACCAAACCAACTGGACTTTAGGGTTGTGCTTGGGCACGGTCCGGATGGCCAGTGTGACCGCACCTAAAAAGTAAATACAAATCTTGGAAACTTGGTCTGGAAAAGTTCTTCATGTGTAGGAAGGAATCCTTCAAATCATTCACAGATAAACCCACTCTCATTCACACCCATATATACTGTATTTCTAAAGGGGTTGTCAGTGAGTGTTGAGTCATGACTCTCAGCATGAGACCTCTCTCTGAAAAACCCTGGATGTTCTCAGTTCTGTTATCTAGTCAATCAAACAGGCAGCATGCTTTAAATCATTGAGTTCTGCTCCATTCATGGGAGTACACAGCCCTCCCCCCCTTCCACACACACACTCATACAGACACCATTTCCAGCTCTTTTACCGCTTCATCTTTTTATTACGTTTTCACTCTCCCGGCTATGGCATGTTATGTGAATCCCTAATGAGATGGTGCTGTCATTCATCTCAATTATTCATTGCAAAGTTTCAGGCAGACTATAGATTAGTCAGAAAGCAGAGGGAGAAAGGTACAGGATGAGCAGTACTGAGCAGAGAGACGGGAGGAAAAAGGGAAGAGCTTCTGTGAATGGGGAAGGCAGAAGCAGATAAACTGCTGAGTTGCTGCAATGTTTGACAGAAACTGTCACGAACATCTCCGCATCCTCAGCATCTCCTGCTCTTCACTCTTTCATGCAGAGGTCATGGCATTGCTGCAGGGCCAGCATGAGGGTCAATACTTTTCTTTTGCCTCTTGCAAATTGCAATTCTTGAAAAAAAAAAAAATCTGGTTCCAGGGAGAAGAAGTAATTAATTATTTGCCCCATTTTTTTAGTTTGTTCAGTGTAGTCATTAGTCAAAGTAGAACCGCTGCATAATTTTTATTTCCTTACTTTCCTAATATTTTTATGCTTACCATGATCCATAATTAATTTGAAGACATTTATTTTCTCTTTGTCGTAAGTCATAGCACTCGTCTGTTAGTCCCATTCTCATGAAGAACATATCTAAGGGTCACCAGGAGGAAAGGTTATTACATGTTGCATATTAGAGGATAAGTAGAAAAGTGCAGACACAGTTCACCTAAAGTGTCTACTGTCTACTTAACTGGGACAGATTTTTTATTGGTGGAGCCGTGTAGACTTTAAAGTAGTGGACAGACACATGTTCTCTGTGGTGTTGCGGTACTGTAGGACTCTGAGCATCACAGAGGTAAAACAGGAAACAATAATTAGTCTGTTCACCCCAAAAGATCTCTGTCTGTGGAGGAAATAAATTCTTTGTTTAATTGTTTTCTCTTTGTGCAGATAAATTCTATGTGGTCTTTCCAGGACAACAGATGGTTGATCATTACACTGAAATATTTATAAGAAGACACCTGCTTGATTTTTTTTTTTTTTGAATTATGAATAAAAATAGGGGCTTTGTGAGCATCAGATGGCAAACCAAATGAAATTTTCTGTTTTCTTTGTATGCATGTCTAGAGTGTTAGTATCACTCCTTTGACTACTTTGTTGACAGCATTTTGCTGCAGCCCAGGGTCTGTATCATCAGAATACACTAGAATGTACTGAAATTGTGTACAGTATCTAACCGACAATCATATGTATTTAAAGTGAAAAGCACAGCTGAAGTCACACAACCCTGCCCACAGGTGGTGGCAGATGAGAGAGTTTTATTCACCTGACAAAGTGGACTGCGTTGGTGGGAAATGAGGCTTATCAAAAAGGGATTCAGTTCTTGTTGAATCCAATATGTCTGCTTTTATTGGGTTGAATTCTGAAGACAAGTCTAGAAAGACTGCTCTTGCAAACGTATTTGGTTCATCTAAATGTTTGGAGATGATTTGAACCAGAGTGTCATCATCTTCTGTCCCCTTCCTGTGCTTTGAAGCTAATTGTTATGGATCAAGTTTATCTTTTGTTTTGCTAACAAGCTATATGAGCAGAATTATTTTTTTAAATTTTTTTTAGATTTCTTGGTCACTGAGGAAAGGGCTACTGGTCTGAAATCTTTATGGTCCTTTGGACATGGAATTTAAGGCAATGATTTTCTGTATGACAAAGGGAACATATGTGGGTCCACTGATACCTGAAAGATTGGTTGCCATACTGGAGCCAGCTCAGCTATACTTATCAGTGTACAAAGACAGCGGCTGGAACTGGTATATTTTCCTTAAATCTTCAACAGTGATGATGATTCTCTCTGAAGATGCAGGTATGATAGTTTGCAAGTATTTCAGAACACATCACAGAATTTTGTAGTGATTCTAACCCAGTCAAAGAAAGAAGAAAGAACCCGGTCTGTAAAATTGCAAAATGGAGTTCATTGTCTGTTGCAGTCTGGTAGAAGCTCATTACTCAATATGTAATAAATATGTTAAATAAACCTGTCGTTTGAAGATTTGAAGGTTTTAGCTTCATAAAACATTCAGGTCTGAGACAGAGCTCGGTCATCCTTAATTTTGTTTTCTGTTAGCTTTCCTCATAACTTGTCATTCAAACAGCAGCTATAACAGAAAATAAATCTATATATAGATATGTAGATATACTGTATATCACTACTTATAGAAGTAATGTGTTTTTTTTTCTTGTCAAGTAAAAATTGAAGGAGCATTTTTATTTCTTTGCTTGCAGACAGCACATCAGCATATCTAAATCTGAATGTGGACCGCCGCCCTTCTTCACCATAGGTAATCCAGATGTTTGGCTGTACCCTTCTTTGCTTTTACAGTTCTGTCAAAACAAAGTTTGGGCTGCAATTCAATCAACTTGGACTGACTTTTCCCCCTGTTTTATTCCTGATGTGCTGCATAATTTAATATAATATGACCAACTTACTTTTTTCCTGAAATTGGAACACTTTACTTCAAAATTAAAGCTGGGAGTTTCCAGAGCAGATTAGTAGGTTGGAGCCAAGCGGCAACTTCCGACTTAAAAAATTAAACCAATTGCGAAATCCTGCAGTTTGTCAGGCATCCGCTTGAATCTGGCTTTAGGAGCACTGGAAGTCACATACACAGGCAAAAAAGCTGTTTTTACTGCATGAATAAACATGTTAACAGCCTGGTACAAAAAAGGAAATAGTTCTGATTAGTTGTGGGCACACACTGTACAGGGTGAAACAGCTCTGTTTTGATTCTGAAAACGATATGTGTTATGCATAGTTAGGCGTGTAGCTGACATGATTGACAGGTGGGCGTGATGTAACGGTTCATCAGTAGGTTTAAAACCCGCTTCAGCTCCAGCTCTCAGCTTGTCGTTAGGTTGAGACAGGATTTCCAGCATGGCAGCTGCTGCCGATGAGCTTTCGGAGCCCCTGGCAGGAACAGAAGGCTTACATCACTCAGGCTTCATCCATTAATATGTACAGTCTATGAATGGAACTCAAACCTTCTCATTTTTGTAGGAAGTTAGGACTAAGGTTTCTAAATAATGGGCCATTTTGGGTTCTTGCTAGTCTATTGCCAAGTCAGAAGTTTTAGCTACCATTGTCTGTTGTCCATTAAGTGTGACTCTAGTTCAAACCTTCCCCATAAAGTCTGAATGTGCACCTTGTGATGATGCTCTGAGAGATAATGTGAGGCTGATGCAAGGATACACAAACACATGATCAGTTTTAGATTTTTCTTTTTCTTAGCAGGGCAGACTGTGTATCCAAAGGTGTTGGCTGAGTCCATGCACACAAAGGTCATTTATTCACAGGGGGTGCTCTTGGGTGTAACTACAGTTTCTAGTTATAGGGAAATAACCAGAGGTAGTCCCCTGGTTGGATGCAGGGGAAGTTACATAACATCCATAAGCAATTTCAC